ACATCCTGGTCTTTATAAGAAATTTTGCGAGGTCAGTAAAGCTCGCGTTCCAGCAACACTGAGCTATTAAACACTTATAAAAAATGTTAACTTGAATGGCGCACACCTTAACATTGGCCATTTATCTATAAGCAGTTAGCCAACAAACACGTTAGCCAGATGGTATCATTAAGGTAGCAGATAGGCGCAATGGCTAATAAAGTAATATAGTTAATGTGGGAACAATGCAAAAACGTAACAAAAATGTGTCCTATAAAATCTTGTAAAATGAGGTAAATCATACTTTTTATAAAAATACAGTCGTATACTGTGAAACCGATATAACTTTGAAAAATACCGTGATATAAATTTTTGGTCATACCGCCCAGCTCTATTCATACTGTTTTATTTTCATTATAAGAACAGTTAATATGCTCAGTCCTCTACAAGCACCACACCAGCCTAAGATAACTGACTGGGCACTTTAATTTCTCATTTTCATTCTTATACACTTTATCTTAACGTTTTTGGTGACCACTAGTTAAGTGTGTTAAAATGCAAAGACAATAAAGTTAAAATTCAATTGAGTTATGTTGTTTTGGCTGAATTATTAATGTAATGTGATTCATTAAGACCACCCAGATCATACACACCAACTTGCATTTCAGCTCTATTTTTTTTTCTTTCAGAGAACTGTAGAATATTGCAATATAAAGCAATATGTATAGCATCACAATATATCGTGATTTAATCGTATCGTGAGCCATGTACCGTGATACGTATCGTGAGGTCCTTGCTAATACCCACCCCTAATGTACAATATAATAATCTATACCACAAGTGTGTCTGCTGAGGTGTGGCATGAGTTAGGGCGGGCGTCAGAGCGGATCTACTGGGCTGGCATTTAACTGACTATGGGGGGGCACTATCGATCGTGAACTATATTCATATGAGCGACACTAGAGGTTGACAATTTTTCGTGAATCCCGTGGGTCACGGGATTCCCAGCGATGTTAACGTTAGCTGCCATCAACAACAAAAAAAGACCCAGACAAGCGGTCAGTCATCATAACAGCCCCCTACACTGTCATGCAAACCCTAAGATCACAGGACTAATGAAAAGTAAACAAAGCACCTTTCATATGCATCCCTTGTGATGAATAAAACGCAAACGCAGCGCAATGTTTTGTTCAGATTGAACGCAGGAACAGCTTACCGTTGATTAGGCTTCCTATGAGTGACACAGCTCAAACTCCATCAGGTTCCAAACTTCGATATATATATATATACACTCACCTAAAGGATTATTAGGAACACCTGTTCAATTTCTCATTAATGCAATTATCTAATCAACCAATCACATGACAGTTGCTTCAATGCATTTAGGGGTGTGGTCCTGGTCAAGACAATCTCCTGAACTCCAAACTGAATGTCAGAATGGGAAAGAAAGGTGATTTAAGCAATTTTGAGCGTGGCATGGTTGTTGGTGCCAGACGGGCCGGTCTGAGTATTTCAGAATCTGCTCAGTTACTGGGATTTTCACGCACAACCATTTCTAGGGTTTACAAAGAATGGTGTGCAAAGGGAAAAACATCCAGTATGCGGCAGTCCTGTGGGCGAAAATGCCTTGTTGACGCTAGAGGTCAGAGGAGAATGGGCCGACTGATTCAAGCTGATAGAAGAGCAACTTTGACTGAAATAACCACTCGTTACAACCGAGGTATGCAGCAAAGCATTTGTGAAGCCACAACACGCACAACCTTGAGGCGGATGGGCAACAACAGCAGAAGACCCCACCGGGTACCACTCATCTCCACTACAAATAGGAAAAAGAGGCTACAATTTGCACGAGCTCACCAAAATTGGACAGTTGAAGACTGGAAAAATGTTGCCTGGTCTGATGAGTCTCGATTTATGTTGAGACATTCAAATGGTAGAGTCAGAATTTGGCGTAAACAGAATGAGAACATGGATCCATCATGCCTTGTTACCACTGTGCAGGCTGGTGGTGTAATGGTGTGGGGGATGTTTTCTTGGCACACTTTAGGCCCCTTAGTGCCAATTGGGCATCGTTTAAATGCCACGGCCTACCTGAGCATTGTTTCTGACCATGTCCATCCCTTTATGACCACCATGTACCCATCCTCTGATGGCTACTTCCAGCAGGATAATGCACCATGTCACAAAGCTCGAATCATTTCAAATTGGTTTCTTGAACATGACAATGAGTTCACTGTACTAAAATGGCCCCCACAGTCACCAGATCTCAACCCAACAGAGCATCTTTGGGATGTGGTGGAACGGGAGCTTCGTGCCCTGGATGTGCATCCCACAAATCTCCATCAACTGCAAGATGCTATCCTATCAATATGGGCCAACATTTCTAAAGAATGCTTTCAGCACCTTGTTGAATGCCACGTAGAATTAAGGCAGTTCTGAAGGTGAAAGGGGGTCAAACACCGTATTAGTATGGTGTTCCTAATAATCCTTTAGGTGAGTGTATATGTGTGTGTGTGTAATTCCCAAGACTGCAACTTACCAATTTCCCTTCTGTATTAGACTTTATAAAACTATATATTAATTGTTGAGGATTTCACCACATGCTGTCAGACTGGGAGACATAGGCCTATTCTCAATTTCTTCTGATCCGAGTAAAATTTGTAAACGAAGAGTGAAGTTTGGTTTAGGACGGTAGCGCCGCCACGCTTTCTGGTGAAAGTGAAAATGACATGCATAATGTATTTACAAATTTATAATGTAACAATATATTTTCAACAAACAAAATCTATTGCTACATTTGTCAATAGTCATATGACTACATACACTAAACTGAAACGTACATAATATTTTTCGTTGACAGTCTCCAATTCGACCTGATAGTAGACAATTTATATTAATAAAACACCACAAGATGGCACCACAAACCACAACATTTATTGTTAATTGAAGAAAGCATTATGTGAAGTTAGCAAAACTGCAGGCCAATCTGGCTAGGCCTAAAAATGTTAAACATTTTAAATTTTCTTAACTACTGAAGTAATCTTAAATGATCCATAACTTTTCTACAAATGAATCTATGCCAGTGAAATTTGAAACCGCTGGGAACAATACATTATCCTGGCAGAGAAAATACGTATTTATTAACATTTGATATACTCGCTAGGGGGGGCAATGCCTTCGAATACCTCCCCGTGACGCCGGCACTGGCATGAGTAAATGGTGTCCTGTAGTTGTGTTCTGGGCATACAGTAACTGTGACGGACTGTTTTGCCAGGTCCCTTGAAGTCCGTTATAAGGGTATTTTACTGTAAATTTAAAGCGTACGCATATTACAAAGGGGAAACATGAAATGCAATGACTGTAACTAGAAAAAAATTCCGTTAAAATAATATGAACAGGAAGATATCTCTATATTTTAGTCACTGTCTACTTTGAAAGATTAGGCTACTACTAAAATAGCAAAGAAAACATACGGTTATTTGTGCAGAACATTTCACACGGATGTGATTTAAAGTATTTTACGGAGATCAAATAATATTATACAGTACGTAATAATGACAGGTGAAATCAACCCAGAAGGTTCTCCGTTGGCTATGGGGATCGAACTAGCAACTTTCGCATTATAAGGCGACAACATAAACCACCCTGCCACTGTATTAAGCATTTGTAACATTTACGTAACTTATGCATTTAGTCTGTCTGCAATTCATTGCCAAGCCAACTCCCTGGCTGTGTTTATGGCCACAGTATTGCCTTTTTTAACGATTACATCTTTGTATTTTTCATACAGCTCCATCAGCAGCGTTTATTCTGCGGCGGAAAGAAACACTGCTCTCGTTTTACAGGCTTTCCGACTCATTTGTTCGATCTATCGTTCATTAATTTATTTGTGCTTCTTAAATATTGCGGGTGTGCGCACTAAGTGAGACTATGCAAGTCTGTCTTAAATGAACCTTGATTAATTAAAACTGAACTGCGTTCGTGGAACGACGTGGGCTAAGTTTAGAGATGGAGGTAGGTTGAGTCTGACTTTTTCGGGAAAGTCTGCGTTTCTTTAGCTACTTTCATGGAATACCCCCCAGATGAACAGATGTTATTGGGAGCAGTGGAGCTTACCTTTGTGTGACGAGACTTGGGGAACCCCAGTATATACAACCATTTAAATCTGAAACCTATTTGGCAAATTGGTTTTAAAAACGGAAACCTGACAACTTCTAAAAATGCACTTAACTGGAAAGATCTTCCTTTTAAGCTATTAGCCTTAAATATCATTTTAAAAATTGCAAATTCAAATATTTTTTATCATCTATTCTTCCATCTGGCAATTTGTAAAAAGTAAACGAATCCAGTACCAATGGTTTCTCACCAATCCCCTCCATCAGCTTCCGCTTGAGACGGAGTGTCACAATTTTTCCTCTAAATTTTAAGATACTGTGCAACATCACTACCAAAGCTCTCACGTTGTTTACAACTGGGAGTAGTATAGGTTTCTAATAAAAAATATTTGTCCATACTATTCTCCCATTTGGCTATCAAAATACATTAATGTGATTAATGAAATATTAATGAAATTAATATAAACTCTGCATTAATTGGATGGAACCATCGCCACATTGATTGCATCATTAAGCTCTTGAGTAAGGCCTTTAACCCCAAGTTGCTCCAGGGATTGATTGTCCGTCTCCTCCACTTCCTCCTGATCAAACATCCCTCACGGCTTTACAGGAGCAGCAGTCATTGCAGAGTCACCCATGTCTGAGTAGTTGCTGGGACTGGACTGACCATAAAGCATTCAGGGGGCCCTATGGCCAGTACGTCACGAACTGAGGCGTACAAGTTCTCATTTAACCTCTGCTTGCTGTTTTTATCTAGTGCCATATGTGGCTAGCTGTAGAAGACGGGTCTCCTAAAAGTGAAAAAGAAGCAGAAGTCTGGTAAGATCTTCCTCCAGCAGCTGAAAATTGTGTAAGTCGTCTTGTCTTTTGTCACAACCCGCATGAAAGTTCTGCAAACTTTGACAGGGCGTCAGTTTAACAGCTCGGCATGGAAAGAGCAGCAGAGAGGGGAGCTGGACACGCTCTGGTACTCTGGGGTCTCACTCTGCTCACATTACCTGGTAAGAGCATCAGTCATCAGTGATAAGACTAGTAATAATATCATTATGTATTATTATCAGAAAATACTGGAACTGGGGTGATGAACTTTGGATTTTTACTTGCAGTGTTGTGTTTTTGTCATAGAAAAATGAATGACTGAATATTTTAATTTTCTCAGAAATAAGCACATAAGAAACACATTTAAGAAATATATCTAAATAGAGTTCAGATTGCACGTCCTTATATTTATGGATATATATGTTTGCGTTACAGTTTTCCATAATTATATTTGAGTCCAAGAACACTAAACTTCTCAAAATCTAAAATTTTCGTTTTCATAGAAAAATGAATTAGATATTTTAAGAAATGGTCTTTTTCAGCTTCACAAAAATAAGCACAAAAGAAATACATTTAAGGAAAATACTAAAGTTTAGATTGTGCACCCTTTTATTAGTGTATTAGTGCTGGAGTTTGTTATGCAGATTGCTGTTGTATCTGAGTTGAAGAAAAATTTTAAATGCTACAATTGTAAAAAATCTTGAATACCATGATTTTGTTTTTATTATTGCTTTCCAGGGGTCCTGGGTAGCGAATATTATATAGAGTATTCAATAAATCGACTCTGTGCCATCAGAAGATCCACTGTGGTCATTCCCTGTTCATATAAATATCCAGATTCTAAAGCAGAGACAGTCATGTGGTGTCAGGATGATCTTTTCTGTAATAAAATGCTATACGTCTCTCACAGCAGTAATACAAACATTAGTGCTGAGTACAGAGACCGGGCAGAATATTTAGGGAACAAAGAGAAGAACTGCACCTTACAGATAAAGAACATTACAGACAAAGATGCTGGTGTGTATACATTTAGGTTCATGACCAATGTAAAAAGGGGAAAATGGAGTGGAAGCCCTGGGACAACTCTTACAGTTGGTGGTAAGTCCTGGTAAAAACTTCTATAATTTTTAGCTAGTACTACAATGAAAAAGAACAAATAACGTTTAGTAAAAAACTAGAGACTAAAGTTATGTTTATTATTTAAAAAAAATATATATGTAATAATACCTCAGAAACTTGTGATTTGCAATAGTTTTCTTCCTAGAAACAAAATTTGTATGATATATGACTGAAAATTCATATATCATACATATATCATACATATATCATACATATATCATACATGTCATATATCAGTTTTGTGATTCTGTGAATATTTAAAAATAAATAAAACTATTATGGGTGACATTCTATAAATCTAACAGGTAAATGTTGTCCTTCAGAATTAAAGGTGGTGATGACCTCACAGAAAGAGGATAAAGGAGTAAGTGAAGGAGACTCTGTGAGTTTGACATGTGGCACAGACAGCTGCTCTCTCAGCCAATCAGAATTCACCTGGTTTAAGGACGACCAGCAGCTCCCAGAAACACAGTCCACACTTCACTTCAGGCCTGCCTGCAAATATCACTCTGCAAGCTACTCCTGTGGATTAAAAGGCAACAGACAAACTGTGTCTGAAGCAGTGAATTTGTCTGTCAGAGGTTAGTAGGTCAATACATGCATTTTCTGTAATAAGCTTAAAATCAAGATTTTATCAAAACAATGATGAATAAACCATTACTTCATGTTCTCTGTGGATTATAGATGGTGCATGGACTGTGCGTTACACAGAGAGAAACCTGTGTGCAGTGAGAGGATCGACTGTGCTCATTCAGTGTGAATATGAGTATCCAGAGCCATACAAAGTGGACTCCAGGATGTGGAGTCATAATGATGTGGACTGTACTGGAAAACCATATGTCTGTCACAGTAATAATGCAAACATTAGTGCTGAGTACGCAGGCAGAGCAGAATTCTTGGGGAACAACACAAGGAACTGTGCATTGCAGATAAAGAACATTAGAGAGACGGATGCTGGAGAGTATAGATTCAGATTCATAACGAACGGGTGTGAGAAGTGTGGTGGACCTGGAGTGACTCTTCAAGTTGATGGTGAGTCTTTACATTTACCTTACTGCTGGTGATGCTGTGCATAATGTTTCTTAATAAACTTGAGAATATCAACCAGAAAGCAGATTACAGCAATGAGATGTTGAGTACATGATCCGGCATAATAAGTTATTATTATTATTATTATTTTAATGCGTCACTTATTTTTAGGATTTCACTTTTTGGCCAAACCATTTCCGCTCATGATAAATATTACTGCTGAAATGTGAAATAGCCTCTTATATTATGTACTGTATACTTTTAGAACTGAAGGTGGTGATGACCTCATCCAGAGTAAATGAAGCAATAAGGGAAGGAGACTCTGTGAACCTGACATGTGGCACAAACAACTGCTCTCTCAGCCAATCAGAATTCACCTGGTTGAAGGACAACCAGCAGCTCCCAGAAACACAGTCCACACTTCACTTCAGTCCCATATCCTATCATCACACAGGAAAATATTCATGTGCTTTAAAAGGATATAATGAGATTGTGTCTGATGTCATCTCACTGGATTTTCAATGTGAGTATTAAGTCTGCCTGGAAATTACAACCAATAACTGGTGACTTACCTCCACATCCATCTTTCCACCTCCCTAATTGCTTACAGGCAGTGTTTAATTTCTCTGAGGCGCTGATGCTCATAAAGAACACAGAGACCTACTGCAACCACAATTATACGAGGAGGTGGAGCACACTGACACTGTCTATAACAATGATAACATGCTATTAATTACTTAATCATGTAACCCTGCAATATTTTCTATCGATGGCTGTTAGTTACATCAAACTGTAACACAGACTTACCCTGTTAGATGAGTTTAAAGGTCTAGAAGAAGCCTTATCTATTTTAATGGCCAAAAAGTTATTTTTTCCTGTGTGCATGGTGCAGTTTTTGCCTTTCAAATCAAAAGTCAGATAAAAATAGGGTGTTTCTCAATGCCAAGATCACCGAGATCGACACTTGTGATCTTGGCAAGACCGGTCTTGCTAACTTGCCTCCCTGGAATGAACGTGGGGCGCAATGAATCATGGGATTGTTCTTATTTGGGTAGGATGCAATTTGCTGTATCCTTGATATTTGGGGTGGGGCAAGAACCACATCGGGGGATTTTTACCATCCCCTTTACTTCTGTTCTTGAGTATTGGAACTGGTCTTCGGCAATGGAAGATGATGTAAAAATGGGTACCTTAGTGCACAAGTATGGTCAAGTGTGCATATTGAGAAACACAGATACTGTGATGCCGACGCGCGTGGACTGGCATGCATACTTGTGTAAATAATGTCCGTGATATGTAGTTATGTCAGTGAATGCAAGTCTGTCACGTTTTCATGAAGCGCTGAAGAGAGTGTTCCCTTATTGTGGTATTTTTGTAACACCCCTGCTCCCCCCTTGAATGTTCGATATGTGTCCTTGTGACTTCCTCTTTCTGTGCCACTGCTGGTATTCCCTGGCAGTTGTACACAATCAAAGCATTGATCCCGAAGATGTTTAGCCCATTTAGCTGTGTCGTCCTTAGCTGGTGCTCGCAAACTGTAAAGCGGCAGAGCAGAAGATTCAGGAGATGGCGGAAACAGGTGTTACTAGACTTTTGGACTGTCCACGACACTTTTGTATGGACTTCTGGAGACTGAACACCATGACCCAGAAGGACTCATACTGTACTTGCTGCCTCAGATCATCGGGTTGGCATGGTTTAGCATGGCCTTAGACCTGCAAAGTGGCTACTGGCAAGTCGAACTGGACCCAGATTCCTGACCCGATATTGCTTTCCGTAGTGGCCCAGTGGTTAATGCTGCCACATCATGGCAACATGGTCCTAGGTTCAGTCCTCGGTCCTTTTTGTGTGGAGTTTGTACGCTCTCCCTGTTTTTTACCGGGGGCTCCGGTTTCCTCCCACGGTCCAGAAACGTGCAGGGTAGTTTGATTGGTAAGTCTTAATTGGCCCTGTGAGTGTGTGGAGTGTTGGTGACTGTCCAGGGTTGGTTCCTGCCTTCGCCCATTGTTCCTGGGATAGGCTCCGGTCCCCCCCATGACCCCAGTTGGGATTAAGCGGCTTCAGAAAATGGATGGATGGAATATCGCTTTCACTATTGGGCTACAGCTACAGGCTGCTGTACCAGCTCTGGCAGCAATCAACAACTGCTACAGCTTCTACTTCCCCTGAGACTTTTAGTCACAGTGCTACAGGCGGTGCACAACGCAACAGGAGCTGGGCACTTTGAGGTGGCAAAGACGCCTGGGAAATTGCAGAGCCGCTCCTATTATTAGGCTTGCTGCAGTCAGCACACAATATATTCGTCCATTGTTGTGACACGTGCGCCGCCCAGAAAGGATCAATCCGCCAGTCCAGAGTGCCTTTGCAGACTTACCAAGTGGTTGTGTCGTTGGAAAGGGTGCATCTGTTCCTCTTTAGCGATTCCAGGAATTTCAATGTCCTTGTGGCAATGGATTACTGGCATATGTGGTTCCATATCAGAGTGCAGCGACCATGGCTATAAAGGTTGTCAAGGAGTTCTGCCATTTTACTGTGCTGAAGGAGCTGCATAGCAAGTCGGGGAGCAACTCTATGATGCACACAGCCGCAGATAGGATTTTAACATTGGTTTGGGTTTGGGTGTACTGTCCCATCTGGTAGAAGGGGGGGTTGCTCAAGCTGGAAAATCATTTGAGGGAAATGGGGAAGATCCTCAAGCTCCTCTCCACTATGGTTTACCGCCTGTGTCTGTCCAAGCAACACGTAAGGCTGTGGTCCTGCACAGGCATCGCCAGGCACCCCCTGGCTAGAGCTGAAAACCCCCCCTCCCCCACAGCGGCTGAGAATGAGGATGCGGCAGAGGACAGAGGTATGCCAGGGACTGCAAGGACTGACACATGCTGGCCACAGTGGCACCGCTGGCCCCTGCAGCATTTGTGGGATTTTGTGGCGGACTTGGGGGTCACCGGAGTTGGTTGACCCGTTTGGTAGGGGGGCAATGTGACGCCGTGGGGCTAAAACACTCACAGACCGGCATGCATTGTGACAGACTGGCACGTAATATAAATACTTGTGTAAATAATGTCTGCGATATGCAGTTTTGTCAGTGAATGCAGGGCCGGCTCTGGGTGGTCTGGCACCCTAGGTGCCACTCCCATGCACATCTGCACCCCCCCCCCACCCAACATTACCATAGCACACAGTATCTGGCTGCTAACTAGCTAGCTGGCATCTGTTTCAGTGAAATATTACAAGTAGTGCAAATTACTGTCATATCACGTATTCTGATTTTTTTTCCCACTGGCTCTGTTGTGCCCACTAGTCAAATGGCGCCCTAAGCGATCGCCTATGTCGCCTATAGGGCGGCCCGGCCCGGAGTGAATGTATGCGTATCACGTTGTCATTAAGTGTCGAATGTAGTGTTCCCCTACTGTGATGTGTTTGTAAATCCTCCCTGATGGTGTTTGATGTGTGTACTAGTGACTTCCCCTGCCCATGCTACTGCTTGTGTACTCTGGCAGTTACAAGGAGTAAAAACAAACTAATATTAAGTTTAATTATATTGGCTGTAGCCTTTGAGGTAGCATTGTGCACCTGAGAGTGCAGAGGCCGTCGAGCTGAGCTCCGGCACAAAGGAAGCATAACTTACAGGGTCACAGTGACCGTGAAGCTTTTCCCCAGTAAACAGGAGATGAAAACACCATTAACAGGAAGCCTGGCCATTACAGGGCACTTGGAAGCCTGGCCATTACAGGGCACTTGGAAGCCTGGCCATTACAGGGCACTTGGAAGCCTGGCCATTACAGG